ATCTCTGGTCAACAATTTAGTATCCGGAGATACTATGATCTCTTAGAATAGTTTGAACCGACTCATACATATATATTTTATTTTATTGTAGCTGTAGCTTTTATCTTATTTGTTATCTTGGTAATTCCACTTTCGTCCTGTTAGGAAAGCCTTTTCACTTACTTATCCCTTTGACCCTTTCAAAATATAGTTCAAATAGGTCGATGCTAGCATTGTTTAAAGGTACCCTTCATAATTTTCTTTCATTCTTCCAAGGTTGAAAGAACTTGTCTCCGCTTAGGTTTATTAAAAGCCAAGTCCAACTTTGAAACTCAAATGGCACTGTTTAGGTTGGACTTTCTGCTAGGCTCATAGCCCTTGTGTATCTCTGGTCAACAATTTAGTATCCGGAGATACTATGATCTCTTAAAATAGTTTGAATTGACTCATACACATATATTTTTATTTTATTTTATTGTAGCTGTAGCTTTTATCTTATTTGTTATCTTGGTAATTCTTGCAGCCCTTCAATTATCAGTGCAAGACAGTACAAAAGACCAGTCAAATCCGACTGACATGAGCAAGTTGTTGGCTGATCAGTCTTTTGTGTCTTCTATTCTTGCTTCTGTAAGTATTTAGATGCATTACTCATTCATGATTCTTTTTCAGTATCAAACTTTTTGTACGTATCTTAGGAGACATGTATGACATTGGCATATTGCTAATGGCCAAAGTGCATCTCATTATACACAGCTTCCAGGTGTGGACCCCAATGATCCATCAGTTAAAGATCTACTAGCTTCCATGCAAAGTCAGTCCGAGGTGAGTTTATATCGTCTAGTCAAAACTAAAACTGCACAGGTGTCCTATTTTTTTGCCATTCTTGGTCTCTGGCATTCTGCCAAAGAATCATTTAATTGTCTTATTAGGGAACCCTAGTTACACGGTCTTATTGAGTCAAGTCTAGGTGTTGGTATTTGTTCGTCAAGCTTGACCACTTTTCCTTTCATATGTGATGGATTGATTTACTTTAATTATATTCTCACCTTTATGCTTTGTGTATAGATATATGGTGTGTTTAGATGGAAAAATTAGGAAAGATATAAAAGCGGACAATACTTGATCTTTTTTATAAAGACATTCTATCCTCACTTTGTTTACACATTTCGTCGGTCACATACTCACATGCAAGGGCAACTATGAGTTGACACAGACAACTATGTGCGGGCATAAACGACAACTATTGTTAACTGTTGTTGCAACTCTTGTCTGGTGCCCTGACATTTGTTTTCATGTCAAAGGTACACCGACGGGTGCACAAACCAATGTCTGTTCATATGTACAATAGTTGCCTTTGAATAAATTACGGGGTTTTCTGATAGATAGATTTTTATGAGAAAAGTGTGCGTGCAAATCGTTGATGCTCACATACAATAGTTGTTTGTGTTAACAAAATATGAGTTTTTGGATAAGATTTTCTCACACAGAACACAAACCAGCGTTACAGTTTTCTGCGTGACCATAAAGGAGGATGCAGATGTTTAGGGGGGAGGGAATGGTGAAGGGGAGAGGCCAAGAGGGGTATTTATACTGTGTATAAAGTGTGAGAGCGTACAAATAGTGTTCAGTTAATTGTTTGTGAACAAGTATTTAGTGTTCTTTTTTTTTGCCTAATTAGACCCAGGAGAAAGATGAGGACAAGGATCCAAAAGAGGAGGAGAAAAAGTGACTGGGATATTTATGCGTATGAAGCTGTTATTTTCAAGATTCTGGGTTGTACTCAGCATTTGCATGTCTTTCAGATGCTCATGTTGATTGATAAGAACCGACTATTGGAATTTAGTTTCTCATCAAAGGACCTTGTATAATGGATGTAACTATAAATTTATGTTCCTCCAGCAGAGGGCTAGTTGATAATTTCAATGTGTTCGAACTGAGTCGAGTTTAGCTGTGATTCTCTTCGCTATTAACATTTCCTTCATGTGATTTCATTGGTTGTGGCCTGTGCCCTGTGGGTGTTATGCTAATTATGAAGTGCTTTTTATCATTCAGCAATGCTAATTATGAAGTGTTATCCAGAACCGTACATCTGCATGCTCGGTGCTTTTTATCATTCAGCAATGGTAGCATAGTTTGACACCACAAGTACATGGTATTACTATCATCCGTTAAACAGTTTAATAGAGCCAAATTTTCAATAGGGCCTCGTTTTCATAACCCAATTCAAATGAAAATGCTCAAATCTTAAATGTATTCTATTCTATTTAGGCCTGGGACCGGTTCGGTTTCTAGGCAAAATATGTGAAACTGTTTAAAATATGAAATTTTACTAACGGTTCAATTCTTATAAATTATTTTATAGAACCGAAAAGGAACCGAACCATTCTTAACAGTTCGATTCTTGTCATTTAACGGTTTCTAGTCTTTAAAAAATTCCCTACAAATCATGGTTAAATTTGTACCAAAAAGACATTCAATGTTTTTAATTACAATACAAATAAGCTGAACACATTTCAAACCTCAAAAGTTGAGTTTAAAACATAAATACATTACAAGCCACAAATTTTAGTAAATAAAACAAAACAAGATATTCTCTAAAGAAGCCCAATAGAACCACAACCACTTAAAATGAAAAATAATTTTAAATAGTTAAATAACTAAACTAAAATAGTGAATGTAATATAAAAATAGATAAGTAAATATACATTAAAATGTATTCCTTCCGTCCCGTTAGAAGGTTCCCGCTTTCCTTTTTTGGACGTCCCATTAGAAGGTTTCCATTTCCATTTTAGGAAACAATTAAAAATCTTAAGTGACAAATTAATCATTAAATATTAAAAATAATGCATTTATAACATCACAATTATCAATACTAACTACATTATAATATATACTTATTAAAATTATTTCTCAAAATATACTCGAAGTACTTTATTTAATTATCACCTAAATAACCGTGTCGTTTTGCTATGGGAACCTTCCAACGGGACGGAGGTAGTATATACTAATAAGAAGTATATAAAATTTTAATTATATATAGAACCGAACCGTTAATAAAAAATAGGAACCGTACCATTAACAAATAACTAATAAATTTTGGAACGGAACCGAACCGAGTCATAACGGTTCAGTTCTCCGGTTCTCGGTTCCAAAGTCCCAGCCCTAATTCTATTATGACAAAAGATTTGATTAAGATGCTATTATAGACCGTATTTCAAAAACTTATTTTTTGAGCAGATTTCAAAAACTTATTAAGTAGCATGTTTAAGTAGATGTTTAACTCTGGCTGAAGTATGAACTATGAAACGTTACTAGTGTTGATATATTAGTAATTAGAACAAATGTCTAATTTAGTTTCATTGTGGAATCAGGCATGGACCCACTCCTAGGGATGGACGGGGTCCGGGCGGCCGGATCCGGGAGTGGTACTGTTAGTACCAGCTCGGCACCGGTTTTCTAGTACCGGTACAGACCTAGTACCTGGACCGTGTCAGAAAAGGGTTGGGTTTCGGGCTTGCAATTTTGGAACCGGCTTGTCCGCGCTGGGCCAAACGACTAGTTTTTAATTCTTTTTTATTAAATGTGTGTATACCGACCTGGGACTGGTACTGTTTGGACCCGGACCGGTACCAATATCGGACCAAACCTAGTTGGTATCGGGCTTCAATTTTTAGAACCGGGATTGGCTATCTATCAAGCCGTGAAAAACATTGGCTCGAGGCATTTTCTCTACCCGTTTTAACCCTGAAAGGGCACTTTACGTTCTTGAACCAAAAACCATTGTTTGACTAACCTAGCCTCCTCTATGCCTCGGGACCAACAAGAGGTAGTACAGGAGTATTCACTTGTTGTCCATCGACTACACCTTTTGCCTGATCTTAGGCCATGACTCACCCTCCGTATACTCTTTGCTCAATGCTTTGAATAAGGTTCTGAGCGAGGAGAATGAAGAAAGGTGCAAGCGACCTTATTCAATAAGAAATAAATCCACCAGAGCAAAAGACTACAAATGCAAGATATAAAAGAGGACTGAAGAATTTATTTTTATTTTTCATAAACCCACCATATATGAGTATTTTCTTTTACAAGATATATTAAAGTGTATTGATTTTTGTTGAGGTGCATTTCCTCTAGCTCCGGAGAAAGACATTATATGAATTGGATTCAAAGTGTCAGTGATCCTAAAATTAGGATTCATTGCTTGTCGCAAATACTTGCTTGTAACATACCATATTTCAATGGATTGACGTAATTTTTCTCTTTCATTTGGATATTGTGTGGATAGTGGGAATCGAACCCGCATCTTCTTCTTGGCAAAGAGAAATTTTACCATTCAACCATATCCACGGTCTTTCTTTATCTTACACACACACATACACACACACACACAATAAAATACAATATAATGGAGATTAGTAGGGATGTCAAAAAAAACCGACCCGCAATGACCCGCCCTAGCCCGAGACATTCGGGGCGGGTCCGGCCCGCCCCGTCTTGCAAATGGGGCGGGTCCGCCCCGCCCCGCCTATGCAATGGGGCGGGTCCGGGTCTTAGTATTGACCCGTGCTGCCCCGCCCCGCCCTGATCCGCCCCGCTCAATATAAAAGTGTACATACTTTTTCTTAAACTATACTACAAATATACTTCAACATTCATATGTGTTTATACAATAAATATTAAATTTTTTGATCTTATAATATATTAATATATATTAGAATGAGATGAACGACGGATTATCAATGTATGCGTTATATATAGCATTTTAATACATGTATTCAATTATTAATATAATTAAATAGACTAACTATTCAAGTCTGAGTAATTTTTCCTCAATTTTTAAAATTTTTAGCGTATCATGAATTTGATTTAATATATTAATTTTTAATTATTATTCAGAGATAAACTTTATGTAGATTCAATTGGTAACAACTTCCCACAAATAGAAATACATATTAGCTAATTAGGTTACGGTGGGGCGGGGCGGACCCGCCCCGCCCCGCATGGGGCGGGTCACGGGTCAACAAGTTTGGACCTGTGCAGGTCACGGGGCGGGGCGGACCCGCCCCGCCAAGTCATGGGGCGGGTCCGGGTCTTGCAGTACCCGCCCCGCCCCGACCCATTGCCATGCCTAGAGATTAGATCTCTTCAGAGCATTTCTTATATCTATCAACACACGTATATGAACAAACTCCTTACTTTTCCCTTTGAGAGTTCTTTCATCAATTCTGACCAGCTTCCCCATGCATTAGCCAATACCAGTCGTCACTGTCTCAGTCATAAAACTGAGAGGTAAATTGTGGATCTGCGCCCAGAATTCTGCGTGATTAAGCTCTACCTCCAGTTGTCTGTCCTTCGCTTCCACCCTACTTAACAACTAGATTCTGGTCAAAAGACCAGGGGATCATCCTGCAAAACTCGTGAGACATTGCTCTCATGAAAGAACTGAATCATAAAACGCATATCTCCTATCTGTTCGATGCTCACACCTTTACTCGGGCGCCTGATCATAGCCATTGTTTCCCTGAAGGAGATAAGACAGACATGTTTATCCGTGATAACCCTAGCAACAACAGAGAAATGTGGGTTCTCTCCCACCCCACTATTAACATTTAGAGCTCCGGATTCAAACACCAACCCACTGTTTTCTTCCTCCTCAATTGACATCTTTCCGTATTCTTCCGCTATTTTCTCCATGATAATAAAAGATAGACCAACCAAACGAACTACACAAAAGCAAACCGACAAATGAGCTGCTCACAATCAGACTTTTACAGACGAAACGCAACACAACACTCTCGCCCAGGGTCTAAAGCGAGGCCAGAAACGACAAATCGGATAACCCGATCACAAAATCGAAACAAACTATATCAACGAGACCTTACCTTCCCACACTTGGCAGTGCTCAAGCATACCCCGAAATTTTTTTCGCCTCGGTCGTGCATCCTGCTTCAAACCACATCGAGCGATTGATCTTCTCCAGAGTGTACTCTAGGATCGGCGGCCATAGTTACACAAACTTTTATTATGCTTAAATCCCAAAAAATAACAAAATGCGGTTATTTATACACAATGATGAGACTAGAAAAGAATGCTTACCAGCAAATATGATCCCTTCCCTTGTTAAACAGGCCTTCCCACGGAAGAATAAAAAAAGATATAACGTTGATAAACGATATTTTGATCAAAAAGTTGAGAGAGAAGGATATGCTAAATAGACTTCATGCTTTATTGTTGATGTCTGCTTTTGAAAAAACGGGGAAAAAACCATAACAAGTTGGTGAGTTCTCAAGTTTATCATTGAGTTTCAATTTAAAGGATTCAGACAAATTTTTTAGTAAATGCAATTAAGACAGATGATAAAAAATCTTCCGCAATAGAAAAAATAGGTAAACAAGAAATTGGTAAAAAAAGTCCCCCAATGGGTCGGGCCCGGGGCCGACTTGGACCAACCCGGCTCCATGCCTACCAAGTCCCGTCCCAATTCCGGCCTGGTTTCGATTCTGGTCTCAGTTCTGGTCCCAGACCGGCAGGTCTTGGTCCGTGAAATGAGAAGCCCGAAACCGAACCGCAATATGCTGAATCTGGAGGTTGAGATTCGTAGCTCTAAGTTTCGTAGACAAGTGTAGGCATTTATTACATTCGCTAGCTTGAGAGAAGAAAGGACCATTCTATAATAGGTAAAACCATTCTTTTTCTAAAAAAAGGTAAAACCATTCTTTTTCTAAAAAAAGGTAAAACCATTCTTGTATTCAACACTCTCCTTTAATTGTTTATTTTTATGTGAGATTGTTGGATTTACGTGATTTATGTGATCCAACAAATTCTTTAAATAATTTATATCGAAACTGAAAAGAATGTCTTAGAAAAAGGTAGGGGAAGGTAGGAGTAATCATTCTTTCTCTTTTACTTGGAAGCTGGATAGTGTTTCTCAATTCTTTATAGCAGAGCCGTCTAATGAATTTGGAGACCCCATTCTAAACGTAAAATCAAGGCCCATATTAATATAAAAAATCAAAAAAATCTCAATCTAAATACTTATAATGAAATCAATTGAATACTTATCCTATAATGTAAAAAAAATTCTAAAAATCACTTAATACTTGATCTAAAGCAACACAACTCATCACGCAATCAATTTAAGTAAAACAGGAGTAAAGAATTGGCAAAAAACTTTATTTTATTGATTAGTATTAATATACCCATAGTATTTTATTGCTATGTAATACAGAAAATTTTGAAAAATCGGGGGCCCATAAATCGGGATACCCTGTTCTGTAGAACATGCTGAATGTGTTTTACAGGAAGTGTTTGGATCTATTTTTTAAAAACCGGCTGTGCTTTATAAGAAGTGTTTGGATTTTTTAAAATTGCTTTCTGTGCTCTGTATGTAAAAGATTCAAAATCTTCATACTAACCATCTTTTAGAAGTAGGAAAAGATCAACTGAAAATTCATTCTCATTCAATTACTTTTTGAATGAAGCGAGGATGTTAAATGTTTCCTATATTCTTTCATTCCATTGTGTGTATTTAAAGTTAGTTGGCGGTGCTTGCGCGGCAAATTGCCCACACTTATTTAATTGGTTTCAATGGCTTCTCAGGAACCCAACGACCAAATCCCTAATTCCCTCTCTTCAATGGCTTCTCAGGAACCCAACCGGGCTCCCATGTACCCGCAAGTGATCGACCCGGATTTCGAAAATCCCTTCTATCACTCGCCTTCTTCCTCCCACCCGGCTCCTATGTACCCCGTCGTAGACACCAAGGATGCGGAGAATCTTTTTCCTGGCCGTGGGAATCATCCTCATTCCCCGTCTGCCCCTCCGGAGGCCGTTGAAGAAAGCCTCCTCGTTGTACCGGGCACGATCCTCCACTTGATTGATAAACAGTACTCGGTCGAGCTTGCCACCGGCGAATTGTTACTGCACCGTCTTCGCCAGGGGAACAGCACCGTTGCTGTCTTCGCCAGGGTCGCAGATGACATCCAGTGGCCCTTAACCAAGGACCTGGCCTCTGTGAAGCTTGACCATTCACATTACTTCTTCTCCTTTCGAGCTCCTAGCCAGGATGGTGATTCAGATTCTAGTGATGAGGAGGAGAAAGGAAAGGGGAAGAAGAAAGAGAAGCTCAAAGAAAAAGAAAAAGATGTGGGGAATGACGTGTTGAACTATGGGCTTACAATTGCTTCCAAAGGCCAGGATAATTTGATCAAAGAGCTTGATAAAATTCTGGACAGTGTTACCAGCTTCTCCGTTCAGAGGGTGGAGGAAAAGGCGTTTGAGGTTTTGGGAGGTACAGTGGCCCAGGAGGTCTCCCCTGCTGAATTGGAGTTAGAGAATAAGAAGGAGGTGTTGGAGGAGAGGTGTGCAGCTTATTGGACAACTTTGGCGCCCAATGTGGAGGATTACAGTAGCTCAGCTGCGAAATTGCTGGCTTCCGGGTCAGGGAAGCTGATAAAAGGTATCTTGTGGTGCGGTGATGTCACTGTGGATAGATTGAAGTGGGGGGATGAGGTTATGAGGAATAGGGTTGCCCCTGGTTCCAATGCTGAGGTTAGTCCTCAGACCATGAAAAGGATCAAAAGGTTCGGCTTTATGTGCTTTTCTAGATAGACTGTTGTGAATTCTGCTTGACTATGTTTTGAGGCACTATCTTTGCCTCTATTAAATTATTGTGCTTAAACTAGCTTTCACAGATATTTGTTTTCATCCAAGTTCGTCAAATTGTTAATGTTTAAAATTTAAGCTCTATGTGGAGTATTTGGAATGGAAAACATAAGCATGAAAAGTTATGTTGATGTTATTTTTACCTGTTGCTTTGAAGTGAATAGAAGGTGATATATTTTCTTCTCCTGACATTTACATTTCGGTTCTCTTTGTTAAGTTTTGGATACATTTCGGTTACCCTTCTATTCACTAGGCAATAAATATCTGCTACCTTAACCTTTTTCTTTATGGCACCCTTTTACAAATCTCTGTTTGAAAACTTCTTTAAATATTGAGTTAAAGTTTAGCATCTCTTTGTTCCCGAAAACTTGAATATATGGACCTGCGGAAGCCTTGAACACGGGATTCTATCTTTCCTCTCCTTCTCCATGTCCATTGAATATCTTGTGGAAGCGAAATACATAACAGAGACGTTTGGCAGTTGTTTACCCGAAGAGATTAGAGCCCAAGTGTAGCATAATAGGTTAAAACCCTAGGTCCGATGGAAATTGCCAATGCAATGTTGTTGATGAAATAAATATCCCTTCTTGCGGACTATTCAATGGGCTTACAACCTCAGATGAAGGTACATCGGCATGCTTTATTGACACTCCCAACGATATATTGAACAGTTGTAGCATAGCTTATCAGATCTGGTATAGAAAGAAGTGGTCTGGTGACCTTGGCATATGGCAGAGATAGCTCATCTTGTGTAAAACACTGCCCAGAAAGAGAAGTTTTCAGCATTTTAGTTTTTGTGGAGGTGCCACCGAAGTTGGAAGCAATGGAGTTGGTGTGACATAGCTGACTGCAAGTGGCCTCCGTCCTCTGTCGTATATAGTCCATCATTCAAGTTTCATCATCAACATTGATGAATAGTGCCACATTTGAGTTGGATTGATGAAATTAAACCTTGCAAATCTCAAATTGAACATTTGAGGAGCAAATTTAAGAACAAAAGGAAGGTGGGAAGGAGATTTACTAATGTGGTGTAGGGGAAGAAAAAAGAAGAGAAAAGAAAATTAAAAAAAAGGAGAAAGTGAGAATTCAGGCTGTTAGAGACGAAGGAATGGTTCGGGAGAAGATGAAGAATTAGGGTGTTCAGTTTTCTGTTCTTTTAATTATTTATACCGGTTGGGAAGGGTGCTGGTATATTTGAGATTTTTAGAACTATATATATTTGGTATTAATATATGAAGGCCTCAAATAGTTGGGATTATTCTTGTGAATTTTTCCTATAATAAACCTAAGCTAGAAGCCTAGAATTAATCGGTAAGCTTGTCAAGACACACAAGAATTAATTCTTCAGAAGTGGTTTATTGAATAATATGGATGACCCTTATATAGATATTACAAGAGTCCTAATTATAAAATGAAATAAATACTAATTAAGAAGTTAACTAAAGCAGAATAGGAATATTTAGAAAAGGAGATAAATGTTAATTAAGAAGCTGCTTAAAACAGAATAGGAATAATAACAACAATAGTAATAATAATAATATAAGGTTTCCTTGCTCATATCAGTGTTGTATCATTTATGTGTAATTTAAAAATATCAGTAGACATAAATGATATCTACTGTGTTCCATAATGGTTAGTAATACATTTTTTTAATAAACCTTGGGAGTTGTATATGATATTCTTTTAATTCAACTAGACTGAGGCTTTGGGGAAGAGCTAAGTCAGATTTGGTGTTGTTTGCCTGCATGTATTGTTTTTGCAAAAAGGAAAAATGTCCTACACCCTCGACCCACATGAGGCGATAAACATTTGGTTTATTTTTTCCTCACTCATCAATGTGTTATCATTTTCCATCATTTGCAATGGAGCCAAAGATTCATTATTTTTTGGCTTGAGAATATGATGGAATAAAGCAAAATGGCTCATCAAACTGTTTGCTCTTCTTTGTTATGGACGTGATTTTTTGGACGTGATTTTCATTATGGGTCATCCGGAAATAGTCTCTCTGTGCTTTAGTACAGGGGTAAGACTGCCTACATCCGACCCCCCCTTACCCCACCGTAGGTGTGAGCCTTTGCGGCACTGGGGTAAATGATGATTAATTGATTTTATCAATGTCTTATCATCATATTCTGGATGAATTAATGGTTTAATAACGGGAAAAGTTATACTACATATTGAATTTATGTGGTCCTCATTTGGTTGTTCACAGGGTAAAAAGGGTGACAAGTATGACTGAGAAAGTGGCTAGCGGGGTTCTTTCAGGAGTTGTTAAGGTTTCAGGGTTTGTTACCAGCTCTGTTGCTAACTCCTCAGTAGGAAAGAAGTTTTTCAGCCTCTTGCCTGGGGAAATGGTACTTGCCACACTGGATGGATTTAGTATGTCAAGCGGATCTCTACTTTTATTTCAAATGTTGTTTCTACACCTTTTAAGATCCATAACCTTTTCCTCTTGATTACTTTGGTAAGTTTTAGTTTATTAAATAAAGGCCCATGAACTAATTCCCTTCTGATGAGTGCAATGCCATGACCCGACTACAGTCATTAGTTGTAGTTCCCTACATTCATTTACTTTTTTACCTTTACTTTCACATTGTTGCACCTACATTTCTGTCGATTCCATAATGACATATTTGATACTCCGATATATACCAAATAGTATATACCTAGGTAACATTAAAATAAAATAAAAATAACACATCACTGACCGGTACTCATGTATAATCGTAGAACCTGTTTATGTACAACATAACATTTATGTAGGTAGGATAACATTTTTGTAGAACCTTGGTGCATAATTTTTCTCACAAATTTTAACTCTACATGTTTATATGGATGACAACAAGCAATAGTGTATTTGGACCAAACAACACTATTTTCTTTAGTGCAGATCAAGAGTTCTATTCCTAGTGGAAACACTGTC